TAGTGAGAGACAACAATGAAATTGCTGCAGCCCTTAATTTTTATACTATTAGGATTTTCAGTTCTTTCAACATTCGGCCTCTAGTATTATGTGAAAGTTTTTATGTATATTTTGCAGGATATCCTGCACGAACATCTGGGGTTAATGTTGGCTGTACGCAATGCCTTTTCTGAACGTTCAAGTGCTTTACTAACAGTACAAACGCTTCTATCAGAAATGTCATCTCTAAATTCAAGGGTTGAGAAGCTTGAATCAACATCATCCAAAATATTTGAAGCAGACAAATCAAGGAATCGGAAGTTGGAAGAATTGAAGGATGCTATTAAAACCACTGAGGTTGCTAAAACTTGTGCAGTTAAAGAATATGAACGCATCAAGGTATTTAAGATCAAACTTTGGACTAATGAAATTCTAACAACTGTTTTTTGAATGTGAGCAATACCTTACCTGAATCTCTGCATTTTCTCTTTCTCACATGTGGTCTTTCATGAAGTTATTATTGGTTTACAAATATTCTATTTATTAATTATATATTATATATTATAATAATAATCTAACTTAATTGTGTGAGTGCAGGAGCATAATAGAAGTGAAATAGAAAGGCTAGATAGAGAAAGACATGCCGACCTCATAATCATGCTGAAAGGATTTGTGATTAGTCAGGTACTCCCTGCATGACTTGATTGTTAGTGTCTAAGGATAAGAATGACGATTACCCCATAAGATTGTTGCAAGTCTAATTTGGCTAAGGCTTTGCTATGAATATTACAGGTGGATGATTCAGAAAAAATTGAAGTTGAGTGGGCAAAACTCGCAGAGGAGACTCGTCAGTATGCAAGAGATGCTGCATAATGCAGACTGTAAAACACATCTTTGACATTTCTTTTATTCAATGTGCCTACATAGAAAATAAAACAATTAACAGCAAGTAACCTATTTTTTGAATTTCATGTCTGCTCTACAGAGCGGAATATATTTTTATTTTATTTTAATTTTTACACATCCTCTGCTGCATAATACAGTTTAATCCTTTTGCAAATTTCTTGGCTGAATTTTTAGTCTTACGTGATTAAACTATGAATATCATTAATCATTTTGAATAATTTGTTTCTGGTACAAATACCATAAATTAAAATAAATATTCATATCAAATTCTTAAATAAAGAGAATTAAATATTTTTATAAATAATAAAAGTAAAGGACTTCTGAGTCCATTAGAAGCTGCTAAAGGTCCTTCTTGTCTTGTCAAGGACATGGGAGTTATTGCTGAGAAATGGAAACTGAAAGATACTAATAGATTTAAAAGGAAACACAATAAATTTTCCAGTGGCTCATAAATCATAATATTATTGTTGACGATTATAGTTCTATATCACTAAATAGAGCATCAAAATCTTTTATGGAAAACAGCTTCATTAATGAGCAATTAAGAGAGGAATTGAGGATTTCAGTGGCGGTGAGTTTGCATCCTGTCTATCACAACTTTGGTCTGGGAAGCTTGCTGAGAGGCACATCAGGTATAAGAGTGGAGGATTTGAAGCCCATATGAATGGGTTGTTGACTTGTTTCAAGTGAATGGTGACAGTAAATAAGAGCAAACCAAGTAAGCAAGTGACGTTTGTGCTGTTTAATGATGTCTCTGTGTCAGCGTAGTTGTAGAATTTTCATTGTACCATCATGTAATCTTGGAAGCATAGACAGTTGGCTGAGAGAAAAGTACTATACTACTATTTCTTAGTTATGCCTCATTTATGCTTGGTTCAGTTGGTTGTATAGACATACATTTCTATATAACTATTTGGATAAATTCTACTATATTATCTGAAATGAACAGATTCTGTACATTTTTATGGCCATTAGCCTAATTAATTAATGTCATGTAGCTCATAAAGTTGTGTTCAGTGGCCACCATACCATATATGTCTGTGCTTTGCAATATTTCTGGCTATGTACATGAAATTTATTTCAATCTGGTTGGGGAACTGAAATTAATCAACCCTTGATTTTGAATATTGCTATGACATACTGATGTGGACTGCTATCTGCTTTTTTCTTAAATTAAATTTTGATTTTGATTTTTCATTTTACTAAAGTATGCAGAAGTTAATTAATCGGAAAAAGATGCTCTAATATTTATTATAGAATTGGTGCTCTAGGTTAGGTTATGACTTGAAACCTAGTCCTTTGAACTTTCCATTTTGGAATTCTGGAATCTCTATGAATCCATCAATGACTATTATTAACATGTGCTAAGCTATGAAGCTGCAGATTATTTAGAAGGAATTCAGTAATATAGCGGTATGCTGATTCACTGGGATGAATGCTGTCCCAGAAGAGGTACTGGGAAGAATCTGTGCATGTTGGACGGCGTACAATGCAAAGTGGACCAGCTTCCATTAATCCAGTGCCACAGCATCCTTCTCCAGTTTCCACAAAACCTGCAACGTGATAGAAGTATTTATTTTAAACCTTGTATGCATTGCATGTCTAGGCATATACTTCCAGATGAAATAAATTGTGAATGTTCTATAAAGATTCTCAAAGGATACAAGTTACCATATCTTTGTGGATCGTTGATAAAGTTCATCATAGGAGTGTAAGAGTCTGAATACAAAATTGTGCTCCCTGGAAGGGCCCCTTGTATTTCGGGCAGCAAAGTTACAAGCTTCGCATTATAAACTTGAGCATCTGTATTCTCCTCTTCAAGGCATTCCCTTACAAGTGGAGAGTGAGCAGTCATTTGTATTGGCAGACAACCAATTGGAGGAAGCCCAGAGACGAGCATAGTACGGCACCCAAGGTTATAAAGTCCCTTTAATTTGAGAGAAGCAAAAGATGTTCTGATACTGTTAATCTCTGACAAATAATTTCTGATAATTGATTTATCATTTATGTATACTTGTATTGATTCTGTGCAGTATTTAGCTCTAGCAGTGAATTGATGCATAGCCTAGCATATATAACATCTCTTGTGATTAATTCATGAAATGTAAATTGCAGGTTTTTTGCTTACCTCAATAAAATTTTGGAGCTTATACAGCAGAAAATCTTGATAGTCACTGATGCTAAACTGCTGCCTTCTTGTAGGAATGTCATAATAATTGAAGATGAAATCATTAGTTCCAGCACTTATGATGACCAAAGCATGATTGATTATTCTTTGAGCCTCTTCCTCTCCTGCTATTATGTTCAACCTCTCTATGTACTTCCAAAATAAATCCAGTTGCATGGACATTGGGATTACTCTAGAAGCAACAGTAGTTAAGTCATCGAATCCTGATCCACCCGATGCAAAATTGACACCTGTCAGAAGTTCATACTCAGATAAGTATGGCTGTAGGAATGGAGGAACACTATCCTTGAGGCCTAGCACAGATGCCAGAAAATCAGGGACAAGTTTTCCATCTGAAAACCTCCCTGTGGGGATGTGCCCCGGAAAGCGTTGCCCATATGGAGGATGATCGCATTTGAATGTGGTTAAGATGTAATTGTTATTTCCGGTATCAACACTTGAATCTCCGAAAATAATGATTGCAGGGAAGTTTGGCAAGGATTGGCCAAAGCAGGAGTTAGTGATGGCTATAGAAAATTGAACAAAGAAGATGAAAACAAAGATGGAAGGAGCCATGGCATAGGGAGCTCTAGCCCCTTCTGAGCTTTGTGTTCTCCACTCAGGTAAATGCTCTGAGATTTTAAATTCTGAAGTTGATTTCCTCTGAACTTCATATTTATGAAATTATCATAACCTCTTTATCCTCTGAAGTTGTAATCTCGGGAATGCAAGTTTTTATCTTGAGGCAAGTGCTTGATAAGATCACCTTAATCTGAAAAACTATTGCAGAATAATATTGACTATTCTTTCCCTGCATTGAACACTTCCTTAAAATCTGAAAAGAATTTGAACCCTTTAGAGCTGTAACTACTCGATCCCATTAGTTTTCACATATTACACAACTTCCTAAACTTTTTCCCTAAACCTTTATTATAGATTATTCAAGTCTAATTAATGTTCATCTGTTTCTTTAAGAACTCATTTATTGCTTTCAGTTGGAGTAATATGACTCAGCACAGGTAGGTCGAAAAGGCAAATTTTCGGACCATGAATACAAGGTACATTTTTAATATACTAAAAGTACATTATTTGTGTACTGAATGTACATTATTTGATAGTATAGAAAATATTGTAATTTCAGTACTCAAATAATGTACTTTCCATGAATACGAGGTACACTTTTAATATACTAAAAACACATTATTTGTGTACTGAATGTACATTATTTGATAGTATACAAAATAATGTACTTTCAATACTCAAATAATATACTTTTCATGAATAAAAGGTACATTTTTAATATACTAAAAATATATTATTTTTATATTGAATGTACATTATTTGATAATATATATATATATATATATATATATATATATATATATATATATATATATATATATATATATATATATATATATATATATATTTTAATTTATGGTCCACAGAATAACAATTGTTATACCATGGACTAGGGTTCATATTGCATTGTGATTAATTTTGTACCTTCAGTTAACACATTTTGTACCTACCGTTAACCGTTGCTGTAGATGTAAACAAATAACTTGATAATTGCTAGCACATAATATGATAGCTATATGTACATAAATTATCAAGTGCAGGTACAAAGAGCTATAGATATAGAATCTGACACATAATATGATAGCTGCAAGTACAAAAGCTATCAACTGCAGGTACAGAATGTGTCTATAGATACAGAATCTGAAAGTTATTTTTGGACCATGCAAGGTAGACCTTGGTCCATGGTATAATTTGCCATAGAATAATGATTGGGCCTAAAACATCACACCCGAATTGAGTAGGTTCTCAGGCCCAACAGGACTGAAGTCCAGCATTTGTGCACTATAGAATTCTCTTTAAGTTAATCCATAGGACCATAGCCTATTTGTGTGACATGGAAAGCTGGCAATTGAAGCAATTAGAATAAAGAAAGAAAAAATGGAATGAGATAAAATTATAGATATGAAATCAACTTTCTCTTCTCAATGCAAATACATTCATGCAAATGAAATGCTTATATGTGGACAGGATTTATTGGCCTAAGCACTACGCCCATTTCTGGAGAGCATCCTTCCATATATAATCAGCCAGAGTGCGGTAAGCCACTTCAGTTGGATGGACAGAGTCGAAATAAAAATACTGTGTCGAGTCTGAGCATACTTTGCTGAGTTTGTTGCAAAAGTATGTCACTTCCATTACCCCACTCCCACAGCAACCTTTGTTGGTTTCCACAAATCCTGTTTTATCACAAAAAGTATAATCAAGTATATTATATATGGCTGTACTCGGTACTATCAACACTAAAAAAAGACGTTATTGGGGGCTACCCTTGTCAAATTGGTCAGTTTGTTGACTTGGTAACCACAAAGTTCTAAATTCGACCTATTGGAAGAAGTCTATTGTCCTTCTTAGTTTGAGCTGATCAGCTATTGGAAGCGGTCTATTGATCTTCTTAGTTTAAGCTGATCAGTTATGGGCAGTCCTAAGTTGATTTATCTTCTTGTGGTTCTTTGACGACTAGTGTTACAAAGTGAGGTTTATTTAGTACACACTCTCTAGTAGTGACTGTGAGGTTTACCCCTAAGAAAGTTGCCTGAATGGGAGATCTGATATGATCAAGATTTGATTCTCTGGTTTTGGTTTTGCGAGATGCGGATACCAATTCAGCATGAAAAAGAAAAATGAAATGTTGTTTTACGTTACCATATTTTTGTGGATTATCCACCATGTCTAGCCAAGGGGTATAAAGATCTCCATAGACGATTTTGGTGCCTGGAAGTGATGCTTGAATTTGAGGCAGCAGTGCAATGAGCTTCTGGTTATACGTCTGAGAATCTGTATTCAAGCTCTCCACGCACTTCCGCCCAAATCCTATTAAATTCGTCGTCACCAGCAACGGCAGACACCCCAGCGGCGGCAATCCAGTTATCATCATGTTGCGACTTCCCAGATTGTACAATTCCTGCAGGTACATTATACATAATATATATATCATCAACATATAATATTCATTCTGCAGATTGGCCGGATTATTTGATGTTTCTGACCTTAAGAAAGTCTTGAAGATGTTGCAGAACAAAATCCTGGTAGCCACTGATGTCGTACTGCACCTTTCTTGTGAAGTCTCGGAAGAAATTGAAGCTGAAATCATTGCTGCCACCCACAACCACCGCGAGGGAGTTAGAAACCACGTCGTGCGCCACCCCACCTCCGACGAAGCTCTTGAGCTGTTCGATGTAATCCTGAAAATAGTCGATCTGTTTAATGATGGGAGTGGCCATGGTCTTCACACTGGTGAGGTTATCGAACCCGGCGCCGGAGGACGCGAAGCAGACGCCGGTGAGGAGCTCGTCTTTGGGCAATTCGGGGTCGAGAAACGGGGGAACGGTGTCTTTGATCCCGAGGTCGGAAGCCAAGAAATCGGAGAGGATTTTGCCGTCGGTGAAGCGGCCGTTGGGGAGATGGGCGGGGAAAGAGTGGCCGTAGGGGTCGTGGTTGGCTTGAATAGGAGTGATTAGGAAATTGTTGTTGCCGGTGTCGGCCAAGGAATCTCCGAAGATGAGAATGGCTGGGAATCTCGGCCGGGGAGTGGCGGCGTTCCAGCTGCAGATGGCGGTGATAGAAGTGAAGAATAGCAGTAGGAAAAGAATGAAGGAAGAAGACGCCATGAATAATTAAGCTAAGCTGGCAGTTAGTGAAGAATGTAGGGTTGTTATATCCACTGCCATGGGAGAATGTGAATATTTATATGCATGCATGGTAACTTGCATGAGTCGAATTAGGTACGTAGCTTCAATCTGAAGGCTAAAATTCGTGTAATTCAATTATAACAACGATATATGATGAAAAATAAAACATAAACATCCCCTGAACGGGTTTAGCTCAATGATCCCTTGCTGAACCATTGAATTACTGACATGATTATTATTTATTTTTTCTTTCACGTACAATATACGATATGTGACATTACTCTAGCTTTATATTTATTATAGTTGTACACATGAATTAGTTGGTTGTATTACAAGTGACTTAAATTAAGTTATAATACAAAATTTGGTACAAATTTTTTGATAAAAGTAAAGAATAATTACACAACATGATCTGACTCCTCTCTTAGCTTGTATAGTTGTATTACTTGTATATGAGTGATCTCTTGAAGAAAGAGATTAACCATAACAATAGCTCACGTCAGGCAATTGGAATGAAAAGTAGTTAAAATTAAAATTAATTAAGTGTAAATCGTTAAGTTATGTTTAAGGTTTAAATTAGGTTCATTATATTCCCAACTAATGTTACCAACCTAGAGATTGTTATTACTTGCGTTAAACCTCCTTCTTGGGTCATTAATTTGTGCATTATATTGTGCATGAATTCACGTGGGAAGGAACCTATAGCCTCAACCTAATGCCTAACAGTATATCAAGTATAATTATATATATATATATGATTATTTTCAAATACAAACACCCCTTAAAATACAAATTTCCCTTAAAATACAAACTGTGTGCATGTAAGTATGTTAATGTGTGCACGAGCTAATCCCAAATATTGTTGGCAGTGTGCCCAGTGTGCATGTATGTATATTAATGTGTGCACGAGGTTTGATGGTGGTTGTGATTATTTCCTCCTACGCGTTGTGTGCATGTAAGTATGTTAATGTGTGCACGAGCTTTGATGGATGGTTGTGATTTTTCCTCCTACGCGCTGTGTGCATATAAGTATGTTAATGTGTGCACGAGCTAATCCCAGAATTGGTTGGCAGTGCGCCTTGTGTGCATGTAAATATGTTAATGTGTGCACGAGCTCAAGTTTGTATTTTAAGGGAGATTTGTATTTTAAGGGGGTTTGTATTGAAATGCTATTAGTATTATATTTTTAAATATTTTATTTGAACAATTCTATTATTATAAATTTTAGTACTGTTCAATATTATTATGAATTTCTTATGAAATAGTTTTTTTTTTTTTTATGCTTATTAATACCATATAAGTAATTAGCATATAAGTCACATCATTCTATGGATAAAAGTAATAATGTTGATGTGAGTGAAGAACTATATAATAAGAAGAATTTTATGATATACTATAACATGTTCTGTAAGAAAATTGTAAATGATAAGAATCAAAATCATTAAAAGTTTATAAGGATGTATTCAATTTAGAATTTCAATAGTTTTTGTAAACTTTTTAAAATAAAAAAATCGATAAAAATTTATGAATGTTTTTTATATATACTTTTATAGAGTCTTTCAAAGTTTTATACAACTCTATGAAAGTCAATAAAAGTTTATTAAAATTTATCATTTTAAAAGTTTTTAAAAATCTACAAAAATCATGATTGATTCCACTTTTTTCCATATTTGTACGGTAAAATATTTTTATTTTGTCAATTGGAAATTTATGCCTAAAAAATGTTACTCTCAAAATCTGCGAAAGAAGTAAGGGGCTTGCGTTTGGTTTAAAATTAATGTATGTAAATAAAACAATGGTAACAAGACAAATTGATTAAAATGTCAAAAATCAAAATTAGTAATAAGATAAGAGAATTGAATGTGAGATTGCCTAAGAAATTGGAAGGTATCTCACATTTAACTACAATAACTAAAAACTTAATAGGGAAGTTATATGACATTCCCGAAGAAAGTTGCATAATTTGAACCAAACATAAGAGTTTTATATTCCTAAACAAATATAACCCTAAGGGGGCATTTGGTTCACAGAATCTTGGATTACCCCAGGTAATAGGATTACCTTGGGGCGTTTGGTTCACGGAATTTTGGATTACCCCAGGTAATAAGATTACCTCCAGGAAGGTAATGTGAAATTTTGGGAATGTAAAATTACCTTATGTGTTTGGTTTGGATGGGGTAAAAAAAAGGGGGTAAACACATTACCTTGAAACATTACCGCCACATCAGCTTTCAGGTAATATAACATTACCAGGTAATCACATAACTTGAACCAAACAATGTAATATTACATTACCAGACTTAGATTACCTAGGTAATCTAAGATGACCTGAACCAAACGCCCCCGGGGGCGTTTGGTTCACGGAACCTTGGATTACCCCATGTAATAGGATTACCTCCTAGAAGGTAATGTGAGATTTTGAAAATGTAAGATTACCTTGTGTGTTTGGGTTGGATGGTGTAATATAATATTACCTTGTTTGGTTCAGGGTTATATTTTAGATTATATAGATCAATTTACAATAATGCCCTCAATAATATATATATATATATATATATATATATATATATATATATATATATATATATATATATATATATATATATATATATATATATATATATATAATGTGTGTGTATTTATTTATATCTATGAATATATATAAAAGCTTAAATATTAAAAAAACTAAATATATAAATATACACATATGTATATTTGATTATATAAACATATATTAATTTCGTTGTTATTATTATTATTATTATTATTATTATTATTATTATTATTATATAAGGATTAGTTAACAAAGGCAAAGTTGGAATAATTCAAGGTAATCTAAGATTACCTAAAAAAAATAGGGGTAATCACATTACCTTGAAACATTACCGCCACATCAGCTTTCAGGCAGGGTTGCAAAAATCCCGCCTAGGCACCGAGTAATCGGCGCCTAGGCGCTAGGCGCCCCTAGGCCGTGGCGATTTCCCTCCTAGGCTCCCGCCTAGGAGACCGGCCACCTAGGCGCCCGCCTAGCGCCTAACTCGACCAATTACGCTGAGTTAACTCGTCAATTTCTGTCGAATTAGCCGAGTTAACCCGTCCGACTCGACCTTGCTAATTTTTTTCATTTATATATATATATATATATATATATATATATATATATATATATATATATATATATATATATATATATATATATATATATATATATATATATATATATGTATCTATGTATGTATGTATAATATGACATATATGCACCAACACACGTGCACTGTTTTTCATTTTTTCAGTTAGTCACCGCCTAGGCCGCTTAGACCCCGCCTAGGCTGTCTAGGCGCTAGGCGCTACTCTACCGCCCGACTAGCGCCTAGCGCCTATTGCAACCATGCTTTCAGGTAATATAATATTACCTGATAATCTCATAACTTAAACCAAATAAGGTAATATAACATTACCACACTCAAATTACTTAGGTAATCTAAGATGACCCGAACCAAACGCCAACTATTTTATACTCGGTATAACTTAAACCAAGCGCCCTCTAAAGTCTAAATAAATTGGGAAGGTTGGCTACTACTCTGTACGATATAAACCCAAACCCTAAACCGACTTCCGCCTTCCAGCACGCGACCTCAAAACTCCGTTCAATTCTCAAATTCGTTTGCTTCAGTCTCCGCCGTCGTCGTTATCCTCGTCTCCAATTTGGTTGAGGGAGATTACTGTCCTTTGAGGTTTAAAGGTACATCGTTATTCGATTGCTTGTAGATCTCATTAAGTTGAGGGTTAAGCCTCGGATTCTTAAGTTGTTAGATTTTGAAAACTCTCCATGAATTGAAGTGTCAATTAAGAATGGAAAGCTGGGAATTACCGAGGGATTTATTGATTGAAATTTTGGCGAGATTATCGGTAAAGACTCTAATGCGATTTAAGTGTGTTTGTAGATTTTTTTATGACTTGATAAAAAACGATCATGATTTCATGGATAAACACTACGAATTTAGTCGAGCTAAAAACAATTGTGCTCTCCTAGAGTTGAATTCTCTTAAGTTCCCTGTATATGGTCTAATATATTACTTGCTTTACAAAGAATCAGAGTCTGAGACGAGATGCATATACCTAGACATGTCAAATTCAGAAATTAAATACATCAAGAGTTGTCATGGTGTGCTATGTCTGATTGTTGGCAAAGGTTATCCAAGCGCGAGCGCGGTTGGCGGTAATACGAAAAGAATGCCTTCTCCAGGCATGATTTTTGATGTTTTCGCTTTGAATCCATCCACCAGGGAAATAAAGACCTTACCTTCAATTAAGGTGCCTAACAAACCACCAAACAAGGGACCTATTGAAGATTATCTACATATAATGTTTGGATTTGGGTTGTCTAAAAACATGGTCTGGAAGATTGTCATGCTTTTGAGATTTGAAGATATAAACCTAAGAGAAGATGCTCACGAAATTGTAATGGTTTGTAGCCAAGTAGGGGATTCATGGAATTGGAGGCAAATAGATGCAGTTCCAAATGCTCCTGCACGTTTTCCTGTCTTTAACTACACTCGAGACCTCTATTTAAAAGGAAAATATTATTGGGCGTGTTATTCAGATTGTGGGGTTGTTACTTTGATTTGGTTTGACATGGATGATGAGATTTTTGGTGAGATTGTGATTCCAGGAGTATGCAATACTGATTTCATTACGATTATGAATGACACTATTGCTACAATCAGTTTTGCTGAGTTTGTGGGGGATGGGTGTTTCATCACCATTTGGTTAATGGATGAAAATAATAATAATATTACTTGGCGTTGTATACATGATGATTTGGGTATACACGCTGATACCGCAATAAATGATTGGACCCCAGTAGGAATTTGGAATTTGGGTGGCCAATTGTTAGTGTTTTCGGGTGATACGAAATCAAGGTATAATAATGAGATTGTTTTCAATGATGGTTCTAGACCATATCTAATTTCTATTGATTTGGTAACCCAAGAAATGAAGATTATTTGTACAAGGGAAGTGAAGAATAGTGCTATTAATATTGGTATGAATCTAGCTGGGAATGCTCAAATCGTCAGTGAACGGAATATTAATAAAGATGAAGAATTGATGAGTGAAAGTAATATTGCTTTGTTTGGCGATTACCTAAAGCCATATGCCCGAGATTTTCATGAGAGTTTGAAATTTCTTTAAAAATAAAAAAATGTTTATGTATCCATATTTATGGCGCAAGGATGTAACATTTGCTTTCTCTTTCTACTTTATTTTATTTTAGAGAATTAGTTATTTTTTTCATTCTTAAAGTGTATTGACATATTGCAATAAGTATGGAATGTGTGCTGTGAGTCTATTCTTGATTACTTTTTCCTGATGAAGAATTGTGCACCTATAGATTACCACTACTCTGGGCTAATGGGGGTGGGTGCTGGGAATTAAGCTGACATCCCTGTCTTCAAACTTTGGGTTTGCATTTTTTTTTTCCCTAAATTGGTTAAGTTTATTTGTCAAATGACGTTTTTGTCTTTTTATTTTTAACCTATACATTTGCGTTTAATTAGTAATTAATTCATCAATCCTGACCTCAAGAACCTGCCGAACTCCCTCTCCCTTTGCATGGACTAATTTTGGCAGCACCATGTTTCTTGCATGAGCATCCACAATTATTATTATTATTATTTTGCCTTTAAAAGCCTCAAATTATCTTCATCTTGCTTACAAGAAAAGAAAAAAAAAAACAATATGATTTGGCTAGCATTAGTGTTTGCTTACTCTATCTTCATCTTCATCTTGCCTACAAGAAAAGAAACAAACAATATGTTTTGGCTGGCATTAGGGTTCGCCACCTCTATCTTCATCTTCATTTTGAATTGCCTACCCTAAATAATGCCAATCGTTATGCGTTGGACCCGTGTCCAGCATGCATGCTGGACACGGGTAACAGTGCCGTTAGATTTTTCTTTTTTTTTTTTTAAACAAAAATTTCAGACCGCTTCGTTATAGGAGTATATGTTCATAATTTTATTACTATATGTTAATAACTGTACATTCATAACTCCATAACTGTACGTTCATAACTCTATAACTGTACATTCATAACTCCGTAATTGTACATTCATAATTTTTGAAGCTCTATGTTCACAATTTTAGAGCTCTATGTTCATAATTTTATCACTATATGTTCATAATTGTAAGTTCATAATGTCAGAGCTCTTTGTTCATAATTCGATCAATAACTGTACATTCATAATTCCATAACTGTAGATTCATAATCTCATAACTGTAGATTCATAACTCCATAACTGTAGATTCATAACTCTATAACTGTGCATTCATAACTCCATAACTGTACATTCATAATCTTCGAAGCTCTATATTCACAATTTTAAAGCTCCATGGTCATAATTTTATCACTATATGTTCATAATTGTAAGTTAATAATGTTAGAGCTCTGTGTTCATAATTTCATAACGGCATAACTGTACATTCATAACGGCATAACTGTACATTCATAATTCAAAAAAAAAAAAAAATAACAGCGTTAACGGCGTTAACGGCAAAACGCGCGCGAATTTTATTTATTTTTAACTAAATGACGCATTTTTTTTTTTAAAAAAGACGTTGTTTTTGGCCCGTGTCCACAATTCATTGTGGACACGGGTCCAGGGCATAATTTGCCAAATAATGCTTTGCCCATTGCTCCTCCACCTCCCTACTGTTTGCCCAATCGAGTCAAGTATGGAATTGGGCCCAATTGAAGCTAGGCTTTCCTTCGCGGTGCCGGTGTCGATCTCAGTCCGTCATCGCGACGTGAAACTGGCGGAGCATTTGTTGTTTAGGGTTTGAATGTTTGATCACAATCTTGAACTTGATTGGCATCCTTATCATAACAAAACCCAATCTCCTTAAAGATACAACACATTATTGCTAGGATGTGTCTAGCAAAGGAAGAAAACCCTCTAATTGGAGTGCAGACATTGTTTTGTATGGGTCCAGGGCATAATTTTTTTTTTTTTTTAAATAAAGAAAAATTAATTTTTTTTTGAAAGAAGAAAAATTAAATTATTATTTTTAAATAATAATTTTTTAAAAAATATTTTAAATTTTGGATGACCTGTTACTAACCTGAAAAACTTGTAAATTGAACGAATTGCATAAAATTGATTAGTTTAGGGACCCAATTGTTATTTTTTTTTTAGGTTCAGTGACCTAAATTGCATTATTGTGTACATTTCAATGGCCTGACTTTTATTCCTTCTATCTATAATATCGGGACTCCCTATATCTAAGAAACGATCATAGGGAGGCAATTCCAACTAACTTGGTCAGGTTATTAGTTTGGTAACCACATTACTTCAAGTTCGACTCCTAGTGGAAGTAGTCTATTGACCTTCTTGGTTTGAATCGGTCAGTCATGGATCAGACAACCTAAACCTGGTTTACATTCTTGTGATCCTTTGCCGTTTAGTCACAAGACGAAGTTTACTCAGTGCATGCACACCATTGGATAGTAACTACAGATTTTTATCATCACCAACAAAAAAAAAAAGTGATATCGTTACAATCATCTAATAGCAAATTTTGAGCCAATAAGCTAAGGGAGGGGATATGATAATGCCAATGCAACACACAAGTCTCTAGGATATGTCGAAGGGAGGCACACACAAGAAATTAAAGATTGAAACTCTATTTTGCTGGTAATAATAAACATGATAAAGGTTTTTAGACCTTTATTAGGATTAATCAATTTCAGTGACTGACTCTCTGAAAGATCGGTTGAATAAAATTGTAATAAGAATAAATAAAACGATCTATTGGTCTAATCAAAAAAATTTGAATGTAAAGAATAGATGCAATATGTTCGAGCTAAAAACAATTGTGCTCTCCTAGAGTTGAATTCTTGTAAATTCCATGTAAATAGTCTAATAATATTACTTGGCGTGACGGGTGTTTCATCACCATTAAGTTTTGTCATATGGCATGACAGTTTACAGATTGGAGGCCAAGAGGAAGGGGCTTCATTCTGGATATGATACTTATTACTGCGGCACAAATGCCCAATGAATCTATGATCATAGAGCCGCTGTCTCTTAGCCCTCTCCCGGAAACTCCAATTCTTGATTATATGCACCTCGGTGCTTTCCTCAGTTGAAGCCGAGAAGCCAACGAACGTTAACTCCTGGAGGTAAGCAAAGAGGTTTATGCCAACCTCATATTATAGGGGTTGTAGGTTTCATTGTGTCATAACTCAAGAATACCTCCAGTTTCTTCTTGCGGTTATGATAATCAATCCAAGTAGTGATTGGGAATGTCCTCTTGAGATTGATGCGACCCAGCATTGCACTGGGGGTGGTCTTTACAGAGACAATTGAGTCTATATCCAACCCCACATGGTTGTCATCCGGGTCATGAAACTACCAATCTCGGACATTCTCAAACTCAACCGCAACAAACCTGTTCTTCTGGGACGACGAGTACATCAGGCCCAAAAATCCTCCGGGGCTCCTCAAAATGTCGTTATAAGGGGAGAGGAAAAAGTAGAATCCAACGCCAGGCGACCACGGAGTCACGCTGCCAATCACGAAGGTGAATCTTGTGGAGAAATAAGCTGCGACAATGGAGTGTTTGTAAAAGAACCGAACTGGGTTCTTGTACAAGGCGGAGCCAGAGTTTGAGGATGACACTCATGATTTTCTAATTAGGCCTAACAAACCATTTTGTACGTGTGCGTATCCAAGAAGAATGGGGCTAGTGACATTGAAAGATGGGAAATCGAACCTCAGAGAACGACCGGTGCTGAAGAGAAGGAAGAAAATGAAAAAAATACCATAAAGAACGAGTCGTGAACACATTTTCATGGCTGTGATTGAATTTTCCGTAAGGGGCGCGGCTACGGCGATCCAGAAGCAACGCAAGAAAATAGGAATAGGAAATGGTTTTAGGATTTCAAATTCAAATATAAAGGATATGGGGAAAAATTGCCATTGCTATTTTTTCGAGAAATCGGAATGTGTTATGAAACAAAAAGAAAGTGGAGTTATGAACCCGTGAACCCGAGACCTCTAGTGTAAAAGATGAGACCCTGTCCACCAAGCTAATTCAACTATAACCATCATAAGCTATATTGATCAGATTAAGTTTAATCATATATATAGCATCGCAGTTCACAGATTCCAAAAGGAGGCCAAGAGGAAGGGCTGTCATTCTGGATATGGTACTTATTGCGGCACAAAGGAATGTGCCCAATTAAACTATGATCTTGATAAAATCATAGAACCGCTGTCACTTATCCCTCTCCCGAAAACTCCAATTCTTGATTATATGCACCTCGATGCTTTCCGCAGTTGAAGCCGAGAAGCCAACGAACGTTAATTCCTGGAGGTAAGCAGAGAGGTCTATGTCAACCCCCCATTACAGGGGTTGTAGGTTTCATAGTGTCATAACTCAAGAATACCTCTAATTTCTTCTTGCGGCTTTGATAATCAATCCAAGCAGTGATTGGGAATGTGCTCTTAAGATTGATGCCGCGCAGCATTGCACTGGGGGTGGTCTTTACAGAGACAATCGAGTTTATATCCAACCCCACATGGTTGTCATCCGGATCATGAAACTGCCAATCTCGCACATTGTCAAACTCAACCGCAACAAACCTGTTCTTCTGGGACAACGAGTACATTAGGCCCAAAAATCTTTCGGGGCTCCTCAAAATGTCGTTATAAGGGGAGAGGAAAAAGCAAATCCCGCACCAGGTGACCACGGAGTCACGCTACCAATCACGAAGGTGATTCTTATGGAAAAAGAAGCTGCCACATTGGAGTGTTTGTGAAAGAACCAAACTGGGTTCTTGTACAAGGCGGAGCCAGAGTTTGAGTATGACACTCGCGATTTTCTAGTTAGGCTTAGCAAACCATTTTGAACGTGTGCGTATCCTAGAAGAGTGAGGCTAGTGACATTGAAAGATGGGAAATCAGACCTCAAAAAACGACCAGTGTTGAAGAAAACGAAGAAAATGAAGAAAATACCATAAAGAACGAGTCTTGAACACATTTTCATGGCAGTGATTGAGTTTTCCGTAAGGGGCGCGGCTACGGCAATCCAGAAGCAACGCCAGAAAATAGGAAATGGATTTAGGCTTTCAAATTCAAATATAAAGGATATGGGGAAAAATTGCCGTTGCCATTTTTTCAAGAAATCGGAATGTGTTATGAAACAAAAAGAAACACTCGTGATTTTCTAGTTAGGCTTAGCAAACCATTTTGAACGTGTGCGTATCCTAGAAGAGTGAGGCTAGTGACATTGAAAGAAGGGAAATCGGACCTCAAAGAACGACCAGTGTTGAAGAAAACGAAGAAAATGAAGAAAATACCATAAAGAACGAGTCTTGAACACATTTTCATGGCAGTGATTGAGTTTTCCGTAAGGGGCGCGGCTACGGTGATCCAGAAGCAACGCCAGAAAATAGGAAATGGATTTAGGCTTTCAAATTCAAATATAAAGGATATGGGGAAAAATTGCCGTTGCCATTTTTTCAAGAAATCGGAATGTGTTATGAAACAAAAAGAAAGTTGAGTTTTGAACCCGAGACCTCTAGTGTAAAAGACAAGACTATGTCCACCAAGCTAATTCAACTATAACCGTTATAAGCTATAAAGATCAGATTAAGTTTTATCATATGGCATGGCAATTAACAAATTTCAAAAGGAGGCCAAGAGGAAGGGCCGTCATTCTGGATATGATACACACTGCGACACAAAGGAATGTGCCCAATGAAACTATGATCCTGATAGAATCATGGAACCACTATCTCTTATCCTTCTCCCGGAAACTCCAATTCTTGATTATATGCACCTCAGTGCTTTCCTTAGTTGAAGCCGAGAAGCCAATGAACATTAACTCCTGGAGGTAAGAATAGAGGTCTATCTCAACCCCCTCATTACAGGGGTTGCAGGTTTCACAGTGTCATAACTCAAGAATACCTCTAGTTCTTCTTGCGGCTCTGATAATCAATCCAAGCAGTGATTGAGAATCTGCACTGGAGATTTTTGCCACCCAGCATTGCACTAGGGGTGGTATTTACAGAGACAATTGAGTCTATATCCAACCGTACATGGTTGTCAACCGGGTCATGAAATTGCCAATCTCGCACAGTGTCAAACTCAACTGCAACAAACCCGTTCTTGTGGGACGACGAGTACATCAGGCCCAAAAATCCTTGAAGCTTAGAATCCAAGGAACGTTAACTCCTGGAGGTAAGTAGAGAGGTCTATGTCAACCCCATATTACAGGGGTTGCAAGTTTCACAGTGTCATAACTCAAGAATACGTCCAGTTTCTTCTTACGGCTCTGATAATCAATCCAAATAGTGATTAGGAATCTGCTCTTGAGATTGATGCCACCCAGCATTGCACTAGGGGTGGTCTTTACAGAGACAATTGAGTCTAAATCCAACCCCACATGGTTGTCATCCGGATCATGAAACTGCCAATCTCGCACATCGTCAAACTCAACCGCAACAAACCTGTTCTTCTGGGACGACGAGTATATCAGGCCCAAAAATCCTCCGGGGCTCCTCAAAATGTGGTTATAAGGGGAGAGGAAAAAGCAGAATCCAGAGTCAGGCGACCACGGAGTCACGCTGCCAATCACGAAGCTGAATCTTGTGGAGAAATAAGCTGCGACATTGGTGTGTTTGTGAAAGAACCGAACTGGGTTCTTGTACAAGGTGGAGCCAGAGTTTGAGGATGGCACTTGTGATTTTCTAGTTAGGCCAAGCAAACCATTTTGTACGTGTGCGTACCCAAGAAGAGTGAGGCTAGTGACATTGAAAGATGGGAAATCGAACCTCTGAGAACGACCGGTGTTGAAGTGAAGGGAGAAAATGAAGAAAATACCATAAAGAACGAGTCTTGAACACATTTTCATGGCTGTGACTGAGTTTTCTGAAAGGGGCGCGGCTACGGCGATCCAGAAGCAACACAAGAAAATAGGAATAGGAAATGGTTTTAGGATTTCAAATTCACATATAAAGGATTTGGGGAAAAATTGTCGTTGCCATTTTTTCGAGAAATCGAAATGTGTTATGAAACAAAAAGAAAGTCGAGATTTGAACCCGAGACCTCTAGTGTAAAAGATGAGACTCTTTCTACCAAGCTAATTCAACTATAACCATCATAAGTTATAAAGATCAGATTAAGTTTTATAATATGGCATGGCAGTTCAAAGATTCCAAAAGGAGGCCAAGAGGAAGGGTCGTCATTCTGGATATGGTACTTACTGCAGCACAAAGGAATGTGCCCAATGAAACTTTGATCTTGATAGAATCATGGAACCGCTGTCTCTTATCCCTCTCCCGGAAACTCCAATTCTTGATTATATGCACCTTGGTGCTTTCCTCAGTTGACGCCTAGAAGCCAAAGGACGTTAACTCCTGGAGGTAAGCAGAGAGGTCTATGTCAACCCCCCATTACAGGGGTTGCAGGTTTCACAGTGTCATAACTCAAGAATACCTCTAGTTTATTCTGCAGCTCTGATAATCAATCTAAGAGTGATTGGGAATCTACTCTTGAGATTGATGCCACCCAGCATTGCACTGGGGGTGGTCTTTACAGAGACAATTGATTCTATATCTCCACGTGGTTGTCATCAGGGTTATGAAATTGCAAATCTCGCACAGTGTCAAACTCAACCGCAACAAACTTGTACTTGTGGGACGACGAGTACATCAGGCCCAAAAATCCCTGAAGCCTAGAAGCCAAGGAATGTTAACTCCGGGAGGTAAGCAGAGAGGTCTATGTCAACCCCATATTACAGGGGTTGCAGGTTTCACAGTGTCATAACTCAAGAATACCTCTAATTTCTTCCTGCGGCTCTGATAATCAATCCAAGCAGTGATTGAGAATCTGATCTTGAGATTGATGCAACCCAACATTGCACTGGGGGTGGTCTTTACAGAGACAATTGAGTCTATATCCAACCCCACATGGTTGGCATCCGGGTCATGAAACTGCCAATCTCGCACATTGTCAAACTCAACCGCAAAAAACCTGTTCTTCTGGTACGACGAGTACATCAGGCCCAAAAATCCTTTAAGCCTAGAAGCCAACGAACGTTAACTCCTGGAGGTCAGCACAGAGGTCTATGTCAACCCCATATTACAGGGGTTGCAGGTTTCATAGTGTCATAACTGAAGAATACCTCTAGTTTCTTCTTGCGGCTATGATAATCAATCCAAGCAGTGATTGGGAATCTGCTCTTGAGATTGATGCAACCCAGCATTGCACTGGGGGTGGTCTTTACAGAGACAATTGAGTCTATATCCAACCCCACATGGTTGTCATCCGGGTCATGAAACTGCCAATCTCGCACAATGCCAAACTCAACAGCAACAAACATGTTCTTCTAGGACGACGAGTATATCAGGCCCAAACATCATCCGGGGCCTCTCAAAATGTCGTTATAAGGAGAGAGGAAAAAGCAGAATCCAGCGCCAGGCGACCACGGAGTCACGCTGCCAATCATGAAGGTGAATCTTTTGGAGAAAGAAGCTGCGACATTGGAATGTTTGTGAAAAAACCGAACTGGGTTATTGTACAAAGCGGAGCCAGAGTTTGAGGATGGCACTCGTGATTTTCTAGTTAGGCCTAGCAAACTATTTTGTACGTGTGCGCCTCCAAGAAGAGTGAGGCTAGTGACATTTAAAGATGGGAAATCAAACCTCAAAGAACAACCGACGTTGAAGAGAAGGAAGAAAATGAAGAAAATACCATAAAGAATGAGTATTGAACACATTTTCATGGCTGTGATTGAGTTTTACTTAAGGGGCGCGGCTACGGCGATCCAGACGCAAGGCAAGAAAATAGGAATAGGAAATAGAAATCGGAATGTGTTATGAAACCAAAAAAGAAGTCAAGTTTTGAACCAGAGACTAGAGATGAGACTCTTTCCACCAAGCTAATTCAACTATAACCATTATAAGCTGTAAAGATCAGATTAAGTTTTATCATATGGCATGGCAGTTCACAGATTCCAAAAGGAGGCCAAGAGGAAGGGCCGTCATTCTGGATATGGTACTTATTACAGCACAAAGGAATGTGCCCAATGAAACTATGATCTTGATAGAATTATGGAACCGCTGTCTCTTAGCCCTCTCCCGGAAACTCCAATTCTTGATTATATGTGTTAGTGTTATTGATATTTATTATTGTTATATTGTATGCTTTGTATATTTGTGGCTCTTGTTATTTTGGTTTAGTCTAGCCTAGAATTTAGGAGACTATAGTGCTAATCTTCCTATAGGTCTCTATCTGTTGTAACCCTCAGTAACTGAATTGATTTTTCAAACACATAATCTCATCTGGTATCAGAGCCAGAATAAAGGTCATGGGTTCGAATCTCTACGTCACCCGATAAGCGACTACGGTCCACGTGTTGCTTGGAATCCACCGCACACGTGAGGGGGCGTGTTGAGCATATAACTAATCATTAATGTGCAATCCAACTATTAGCCTAGGCTTTTACTCTTTTAGTTGAGATGGAGCACATGCTTCAATTTGGTATCAGAGCCAGACTAAAGGTCATAGGTTCGAATCTCTACGTCACCCGATAAGACTACATTGCAATGGATTTGTGTTATATTATTTGAATTTTGTTGAATTAGTATTCAAAAGTTTTAAAGTAATAGTCCACAAAATTGCATTAATAAAAAGCTCCAATAAGGTGTCAATAATTGAACTTGAGACCTAGTTAGTTGTACACTATATACATATTTTGAATCTTGTAATGCTTGGAATGTACATTGCAATTGAACAAGTAATACATCTATCAGTCCACTCATTACCTAACGCAAATGACAAGAAAACAAAAGCAATTGACAAGAAAACAAACATGGAAGCACCATGCCATTTAATTATACTTAAAATTAAAATTATGAAATTAAGGTTATTTATCATCACAACTGTACCTTACAGACTTGGCTTTATATGTGTATATATGTAAAATCAACTATTTTAATGGAACTTTTCTCAATCAAGTTGCCACTGGGCATCAAGAAGCAGTTATGTTTTCTTGGCAACTCAATTGTGCCTAAAGACTCCTTTGATAGCGTGGTATGGGGGCGTACACGGTACATTGAACCATCTCCTCTATGGTACTGTCTATATTTGAAGAGATCGTCACTGCCTTGATTTGCTCTCCCTCGAGGGGCCACAATGGCTGGGGCATTTGGATAGTTGCACGAGCCAAGTTTAACGATGAAAGTAACCGTGGTGCCCTTATCCAAATATGTCTACCCATCAGCTGTACAAACCTGGTTCAATTCATTGTTTGACATCGAAAGTGTTTGAAGCTTTCTTACAGGGCGGTGGTGGACTGACTTTATTGACTGCTGAATGGGAGAAGAAGAGAGAAATCCCATGAAGGCACTAGTAAGTACGTTGTTTTTTTGTGTGGTTCTGCTAACACTAGCCGAGTTGCTGTTTCCTGATCTTTCTTTTTCCGCTTTGGGCATCTCTAACATTTTATGTTTAGTCCAGTGTTAGTATGAATTTAGTGCTTCTCTCGTCTTATCAGATTGGAGGCTCTGTGATTGAAATTGACTTCAGAACATGGTTTTTACTGTCATTCTTGTTTTCTGCAAAAATAAATTCTAAACCATATGATTTCATACTAATATATATAAATAAGATGCTTTTCTTTTAAAGTTATGGAAGAGTCAAAAAAAATGACTACCAGAAATCAAGCAGTATCAATATTGATCCTTTCCAAGGGAATAATTCAGGAATATTGCTACAGTAACTAGTTCTATGCAAATGAAAAGGGAAAAAGAAAATAACGAAGTACCCCGATTAGCCAAATATATCTTGATCTTCTCATATGTTGGAAACTGGATAGCAACATGACTAATACCCGCTAGAGCAGTCACAAGACCACTGACAACAATGAAAACATAAGTGATCAACAAGCTTAACTACCTATGTGATGCATAATTCAAACATTCAAATAGAAGAATAACCCTAGAATGCCCTTTTCACGAGCTATTCTTCTTAGAGCCGATAATGTACCCCGACAACACCAGCTCTCATTCCTTGAGTCTACAGATATAAGAAACAGATCTTTCAGATCTCTCAATCTTGAAATAGGAATGGAAATGCTACTTCAATTGAGTAGCAAGGATATATCCCCCCTCTCCCCTTCCCACATCCAAAAAAGAAAGAAAGAAAAGAACCCCCCAAAATATTGTATATATAAACTTTACAACCCTAATTGATTTTCCAGAGGAACAAAACAAAATAAAATAAAATAAAACAAAGTTAAACTCCTCTTGGTAAAAGGGAATAATAAAGGCCTCATATCATTGTGCAACCAAACTAGTAGACGTCATGGGACATAATCAATTGAGTCAAGGAAACTTGTGTGAAGGACACACACCTGAAGTCTAGTCTTCACAACCCAAAGAGGATTTGTGGCAATTGTAGTTGCAGCCCCAGCAGCAGCAGCAGCAAGCATGTTGGCACCAATAGAAAGTTTATGTCTTTCATCTAAAATAGCCAATAAAACACATATTGAGCTCTAAAACAGCAAACAAATTCTTTATATTCAAGAATGAAACAAAATTAACTGACCATCAGAGCAAAGAAAAGATTTCAGCTGCTCATAAATAGTAAAATAAACCTGCAGAAGATATGATCATGTGCTGCATTATTTCATTTATTAACTTCGTAATTTCAGGAATATAAAAGAGTGAAAAAGGCAGAAGAACAATGAGTGAGAAAACAAAATTAAGAAAGAAGCAAGAATGGGCCAGCCTCACAAAATATATCAGCAAAGGAAAAGTACCACCATCCCATGGTGTTGGGGAAAAACTAATCTGCTACTCTGTCAGACTGTGACTATGCTCAATCCTCGGGGCCACTCAGCCCAGACGATTCGCCACAATTTGGGACCCTACGGGGCTGTTTACTTCGTTCTCTGTTTTCTATTCTCTGTTTTCAATTCTCTATTTTCAATTCTCTGTTTTCGGAAACTGAAATTGAAAACTTGTTTACCAGTACTTAGTTTTTAAATTCATTCTCCACTTACTAGATTAAACATGTACTATATCCATATATTTAGTACATATTAGTATTATTATACTATAAAAATACAAAGGCATGTCAATAGAAGTGCCAAATTGTGTCATTAAACATTTAAAACATTTTCTTAATCTTTAACAATATTCCAAATGTAAATGTGGGATTTACATAACAACCTGATCTCAGCTTCAATGTTGAATTGGTAATTGAATACAAGATGGTTTCCGGACATTCCATACAAATAGAAAACATCATAATGAAAATTTGACACCCTCATCATCAACATAAATCAGTGGTTTAGTGTTATACTCATTGTCAAAATTTTCAACAGAATCAAATAAATCTTCTTAGAAAAGGATTGTCATATCTGGATATTCAAGGTCATATATTTTCCTCAAAATCATATCCTAAGTACTGACCATCAAGCTCTCCACCAGCCACATCATGTTGCATCAAGTAATCATGATTTTCATACCCCAAGTCTGATCTACCACCAACAAGAACATCAAAACCGGGCAAGGACTCTAACAACTCTTCCCTCTCCACATCATCATCCAACTTCATCATCTCCGGGTATTTTCATCTGCTGCTCTTTTTGGATTAGTTTTAAATGAATTAGGATGTGTTTCAACTGGAACAGAAGAAAGTGATTATAAAAAGCAGTTATATTAAAGCAGAGTAAAGGTTAAAGCCAAAGATTCAACAACTAACTGATCTCCACATCATGCCATTATCTGTTCTTATTTACCATGTCTTACAAGTTACAAGATACTAACTGATGCACAGAAATGACCAAAAGCATAAAGCATAATACACCACACATCCAACGATATATATTCAGTGGAGAAAGATCAATATATGGTATGCAAAACTTTAAAACAGCCTTCACAGTTCACACATGTCTCGACTCTTGAGATCAAATCTCAAGTCAGTATGCAATTCTTCTCATTCCTTAGCAAAATTGGGAAATCTGAAATGGATGGAAAATCTCACTTTCAATTGCCAGATTACTGAACAATGGAAAGTCATCTTCAAGTCCAATCACGATGACTTTTTATGTTATACAATATTCAATTATCAACTCCTTCCATAAATGTATCTGTTTCTCCCGTGTGTCTACCATTCATGAAATAACCAATACATTTTAAAATTTATGATTACTCTTTTTTATGTATAATTTTCAATCTCAAAAACTTTCTATGACCAAAAATGTTCTCTTTGGTTAATCTTAACAAACAAAATAGTGTGTTTGTCCAACAACACAATATCCAGCACATCCACATCAATTAAGCAAATATAGCCAAGCAGCACATCAATTAAATTTATTCTCTTCTATCCTCAGCACCTAAAGAGAACCAAGCAGATCTTACATACAGTAATTGCATACAAATGCAGCACATCAATCTCCGAATTCTTTCATTTAACTTCAAAATGCGACAAATCACCAAATCGACCCCTTGTTTGATAATATTTATGATATATAGTTGAATATAGGTAATTGTTTTTGGAGTGAACTCACCGACGGTACACAGGATCAGACCGGGGCGAGGCTGAGTTGTGAGTGTCGAAGGATGCACAGGACTCGCATCTTGTATACGCTGTAGATGAAGATGAGAGAGTCGCTAAGTACGGACTACCGTTGCCCACTCAGCCCTGGTCTCGTCGTCGCCCAAGTTTGAGGGGAATTGAAGTTGGGAGACGGTGGTTGTGATTTGTGAATCAGAGACTGTGACAAAGCCCATCCGTGTGTTTTCAAATAATGTTGCTCTTATATAATTTGGCACGCATGATACATCTTAAGCCAGTTATAATTATCAATAGTCAAGTAACATAAATAAAGCATGTGCAAAACATATACTAAATACATATATAACGTTGTTAAAATATCAGAGAACCTTAGTTAATATACCTTACGAGGATATACTTCTATGATCATTTATGCTATCTTCAAAGACATACTATACGACATGTTAGGTTTCAACTTTGAAATTGACTAGTTTAAAAAAATCTCATAGTTATATGCAATGGCCTTGCCAATATAAGTGGCGGGGTTGATAGGGAATATACACTAGCATAATGACTCGTACGTACCGAAAACCTGATCAGATTCAACTCCATAGGTGACGGTCAATTATCGACCTAGTCTGACCCGAATATAACATCTGACCGACTAGACATGAGAGATAGACAGTCGAACGGACTATAAGTTGTTGCTCTTAGCATTTGGTGTCTGGTTCCAAATATTGAAATAGTAACATGGTCAGAGAAAAAGGCAGGCAAATGCTAGACGCGCCCGACAAACTGCTTTTTATTATTACTTTTTAAAAAATCCAGTTCTATTTTTTACTTTTCTTTTTTCTCTCACCTCTCATATTCTCTTTCCTAATCACACTTACAAAAACTCCACAACTCTTCAAAACTACAAAAAAAACTTCACTATTATGGATGCTTTTATTAGTGTAGATCTAAAGTTGGTTTAAACGATGCATACAAAATATAAAATTTTAAATTTGAAAAAGAAAATTATACTTTTTGTCTCTAAATTTTAAAAAATTATAAAATCCCTTTCCTAGAAGTGGGACTCACCTACTTCACTCGTTATATCAATCATGGACTGTGTTCCTTTCTTAAATTTGTTATCATACTAGCTAGCACATGTTTGTTTTAGTGTAAAAGATATGGCTTTAGCTTTTCTTAGGTTATTCTTGTAGGTTGGTGCTCTTTGTGTGAGCTTTATGCTGTCTAAAATGTATTCATTATTTTCTCCTTGTTTTGGTGAACCTCTTAATACACTCAGTGTCCAGATTGTTATTGCAAAATTGTACTCCGTATTATATAGTTGTAGTTCTAAGAAATTGAACTGCTTTTTATTATGTTAGCTTCCATATATTCAATGGAAATGGGAATCATAATCTCTAGTTTACTATAATTATAAACTATTGGTTTTGTTTTTAATGCATGTTAATTTAATATTCATCTCTCCATTGTTTGTGCTCAGGACAAAACATAAGGAAATTGGTGAAGGATGGTTTCATCATGGAAGTGCCGACATTCTGGATGGGGTGGGCATTTCGGTTCGGTCTCAAATCGAAATATAGAACAGTTCGGTTTGGGTTCTGAAAAATCGATCGATTTTTTTAAAATAATAAGTATATTATATTATTGAATGTCGAAGGTAAAATTTGAACCCTTAACCTCAAGCTCTAGTGTAAAAGATGAAACTCTTTCCACTAAGCTAATTCAACTACAACTGTCATAAGCTATAAAGATCAGACTAAGTTTTATCATATGGCATGACGGTTCACAGATTCCAAAAGGCTGACTTCAAGTGAGAGTTTTAGGCGCTTACTTCGCAAGTATCGGGAGTCTAAGAAGATTGACAAACACATGTATCATGACATGTACATGAAGGTTAAGGATAATGTTTTCAAGAACAAACGTCTCTTGATGGGCTAATGGAGAGCATTCACAAGTCCAAGGCTGAAAAGGCCAGAGAAAAGACCTTGTCTGACCAGTTTAAGGCTAAGAGGGCCAAGAACAAGGCAAGCTCCAGCTCTTTGTCTGACCAGTTTAAGGCTAAGAGGGCCAAGAACAAGGCAAGCTCCAGCTCCAGTACCGAAAACCTGATCGGATTCAACACCATAGGTGACGAAGGTCAATTATCGACCTAGCCTGACCCGAATATAACATCTGACCGACTAGACATGAGAGATAGACAGTCGAAGTACAGCTTGTAAGTTGTTGCTCTTAGCTTTTGGTGTCCGGTTCCAATCCTGCCGATCGGCTGAGGGATTCGAGTCCAATATATAAGCGCTTAAAGAGGTATATTGATAACCGAGTCCGTCAGATATTGGCTAGACAAATACCCTTCAACATGTGGACACTTTATCATTAGCTATTGAGACCACCCGAGTTCATAGATGACACATGGCGTACATGCCGATCTCCCCCGCATGTGTCCCATCCACTCTTCTATAAATACCACACTAAAAGGGACTCGTGGTTCTCTTTCTAAACTATTAACATACTTGGGACCCTCTGGCCTTTGGTCGCGGTAACCCGAGCCCCGGTAACCAAGTACTCTGTACTCAATGAAAGAGACGGATACATATATCCAGTGAAATTTACCGCATCAGGGGTCTTTGCTGGTGATATGTACAACAAATTTGCCAATGATACACGTAGCTGGACATAGAACACATTTTTTTTTTATAAAAAAATATTATAATAGTATAGAGATATAATCAATAATTTTAATTTTTCACACTATTAGGCATTTTTTGACAATTAGAGATATAACATATGCTACAATGTAATAGAGCCAGTAGCTTCAAAAAAAAAAAGAGATATAACATATTTGAGACAATTTGATGAAAAACACAACTAGTATCAATAATATGCATTATGTAAACCACACTCATGCGTAATAACTCATAAATCACATATAAAAAATAAAACATATTAATACGATTATATTCAACATACTCAACCAAAAATCATGTACATTATGTAATTATGTGTAATAACTCATAAACACCACATAAAGAAACATACTAAAAAGACTATATTCAACCAACTCAATGAAAAATAAAACTCATAATATTAAATACGAAAATTATGCTCCATCAACTCATTCATATTTTAGAACCAAACTAACAATTTCGTGTTTTCAAAAAAAAAAAAAAAACAATTTCGTTTCTCCACCACTACTCACCTACCAAAAATAATATGATTGAATAGTACACGGGGCTCAATTCTGAAATTGTAAATTTGTAATTGGTGCATCAATAAAGAAAACCGGTCCGGTCCCTCTTTGTTTATTTCTTCCCTCTTTCCAAATTGGCCGTGCACATCACTACTAAAGTAGAAACTCTTACTACACTTCACCTCAAACCAAATCACCAAATTAAATTTGGAAGAAAAAATGACGTAGAATTGCTCCAATCAAGTCGTCAAATCACTAAATTTTTGGCGTTGGAATTTGGCGCTCCACTATTCATCCTACCCCATTTTTGGTGTACTTTTGTATTCCCCATTTGCCCTTGCTTTCTTTTAGGATGTGTTTGGTTCGCACATGGGAATCGGAATCGGAATGGGTATCAAATACTTGGTAATGGTAATGGATTTTAGTGAAAATATTTAACATGTTTGATAGTAGGGTGGAATGGAAATGGTTACTAATAATAGTGCTTGAGAATGAATAAGGGGGATGAAACTCTTATTTTATTTGGGTATGAATTTTTTAATTGATCATGTATTCGAAACCATAGTAATATTCTAAAAATCTATCAACCAAACAATAATAATCACTTTCATACCCATTTCTATGGGCAAAACCCATCAACCAAACACACTTTTCTTTTTCATTGCATAGCATATATCTGGAGGAAAACAATTTATGGATTTTCAAAATTGCTGTTGGTGACCTCTTACTTGGATATATGATTTATTTTTCATGTCCATGGAAGATATGGAGTAGAATATCACTTTGTATTGACTAGGAGCAGCCCCCCTTCTGCCCTTTGTTTTTAGGACAAGTAAAATTCATCTTCTATCTGATTATATATTACAAGTCATAGGAAAAGTAATCTTTCCATTCCTATTTGTCTTTGATATCCTCTGTTATTGATGCAAGCTATACATACACCTCATACTCTGTTCACAACTTGTTACTTGTTATTAACTAGTATTTGTCCCGTGCGATGCACGGAAAATATGTTATAAAAATATACACTATATGAGGTTTATTCATATATAAAATTTTTGTTATTTAATAATTATTATGTGTGAATTCCTATGATAAAATTATGAACATAAATATATTTACAATTAAAATAATATTTAAGGTGGGTGATTACTACAAATCTTAAACTATATTAAAAATTTAGTACATAGTATTTAATATTATAAATTTTTAAGAACTTAGTAAACTATAATAGTAATTGAATTACAATTTTAGAATCATCACGGATCAAAAATTTTAGACCTTTGAGATTTCTAACTCTAGATGTAGCAACATACAATTGACCTTTAAAGACCAAAATCACAATCTTAGTTAGAACATTGATTTTTTTCTTCCAAATACTATCGAATTAAGTGTGTAATCAATAAAAGATGAGAACTAATAATTCGAGAATATAATCTTAATGTTACTAAGCCTACTTCACGTCAATTAAGTTGGAGAGTGTTGTTGGATAGTATCCGATGAATCCACGAATAACGCATCTTTGTCTCCGTAGTCCTCAATATGCACATCAACAATCTTAAATATTAAGCCACATAGCTATGCTATATATTAATTTCAAACTTATGGACTTTGGGGTTGCATGCATGCTTTTTAAGATGTGAAAATTACTTTAAGATGTGAAAATTAAATGCAACATTTAATTTTCACATCTTAAAGCCCATTTAATTTTCACAAGACTTTCACATCTTAAAGTCATATGGTCTTGTGAAAATTAAATGCAACATTCAATTTTCACAAGACCATATAGCTTTATTATATATAGGATAGGATAGCATATTCAATGATGCATGTTAATCTTACGTGGCAAGTGGCCTAGGAGTAACGTACTATTCTTCTCAAAAGGTTGAATCCCCAACCCCGGCCCGACAGAGCATCTAGGAGAATGTAAATCATAGTAACTCAATTGAACCACAGAGGTTAGACCTTTGCTTACTGCACACAAGGACCCCCCTTACATGACCAGTTGAGCTGCCCATGCGGGCAGGAGTAACATACGTACTATTATAGGTCAACTAGGTTTTTTTTTTTTTTTTTTTTTTTTTTTTTTTTGAAAATATAGGTCAACTAGGTTAATTGCACAATAATTTTAACAAGTTTAAGGGTCTAATTAATTGGAGGTTTTTAAATTTTTTAGTTCGAGTGTCTGATTGCACTTTCGTATATAGTTGAAGGATGTAATTGACCCTTATCCGTTCATAATATTATTATGTTGCGTTTCAATTGGTGCTCTATTAACCTTTCCTTAGCTTTGTACATAGTTTAACTCATCCCACACTACTAGGTATAGTAGCTGCATGCATGCATGCCCTTGCAATGGAAGATATGATAGCATGGATGCAAGAAGGTGGCCAGGTAATTAGTTTTTCTATTGTAGCAGAAGAATTATGGTTCTGGGCCGGGGTATTAATAATAGCAATATAGTCTTAATTGTTGAAGGTTGGAGTATTTAATGCCACAAACATACAGCAGGAGGCAAAGACGGAATATGGTTATGAAAATGGGTGAGGAAAGATGTAAGGTACAAATTAATATCATTCCAATTGCTAGTTATACTCATTGGAGAGTAAAATTCAATGACAATATAATATAATAATCCATGGATATGCCAAGTGGCTTATGCTGCAATAAGGTTCTACTGAGTATGAAATTGGGGAGGTAATTTGTTTTGGAATTCAGATTCTGCAGTGCAGCACTAATGCTACTGCATTTTTTTATTTTATGTGTGGACTAGGTCCAAATTAAAAGATATTATTTTGTCACTTGCAACAATTAGGTATAGTACACGTTTAGTGGGTTGCAAGTTAAGATAAAATTTTCAATAACCACTAGGCAACATATAATTTCTGAAGTTGTACTCCGTTGGTTTTTCACTTTTTTTGTACAATATGAGATTGATGTTTACTGGCCTTCCTCTTTTGTTTGATTTATTAGCTTGTAGATTATTCTTTTGAAAACAATTTGTAACGATCTACAAATAATTGAAAGGAACATTCAACAAAGCCAAAGCCAGACTATGCTGAGGAGTACGTATTATTGCTAGCTACATGCATCTCTATATATATTGTATTTGATACTCATTGTTAACACACATGCCCCCTCTCTCTCTCTTCCTCTTCTAGATCTTTATTTTTTATAAGCAATCTTCCCTGAAGTTGCATTGGTCGAGGAAGAAAGCAGTGAAGTTTGAGCGCCTCCGATTCCACAAACAAAATGAATACGCCTCTCCCTCTCCTCTTCCTGGCTGCACTCCTCCTTCTCCTGAAAATGAGATATGCTCCTCCCCATCCCCATCCCCCTCCCCCTCCATCTACTAGTTCTAATCTACAAGCATCTCCTCTTCCTCTTCCTCCCCCTCCCCCTCCCCCTCGAACTTGGGGATCATTTTATCTCTCATTGTTTTGGCCGCCGGGCTATTGTATAGCTAACCCGGCAGGATGTCTACCTAATAAAATGAAAGAAGATTTTACCATTCATGGCCTTTGGCCACAAACTACTCAACAATCAAGTGGACCTGCATATGTTGATGGATTGGTAAATATGTTATTATTATTATTATTATTAACACAGTAATTTTTTTTTAAAAAAAATTGACATTTGCAGATTAATCAAGACTTGCGGGACAGATTAGACATCTATTGGTCAAATCTTGAAAGGGATCCCAATCGTGCGTTCTGGGAACACGAATGGAATAAACATGGAAAGATTTCAAATAGTCTACTAGGCGAAGTAGACTATTTTGAAAGAGCGATACAGTTATACCTTGCAACGAATGTAACAACTATTCTTGCAAATTATGGTATTTTACCATCTGACAATTCTCCGACCACCCTTGCAAGTGTTTCGCAGGCTTTCGGGAGTACTCCAATTGTTGTATGCCGCAAAGGTCGCAATAGTAATACGATGTATATAACAGAAATTAGGCTTTGCTATGATGCAAGTGCAATTAATTTAATATCATGTACTCAAGCCCAATTGTCATGCGGTACTCAACCGATTTATTTGAAGACTATATAAAATATTATTTGTCTTATTTTATGTCTCATCTTACTCTATGACTATACTAACAATTTGCAACACTCCGTTAGGGCATTAGGGGCTTCCCCTTAATGATCTTTAATTTATCATTGGTGCATTATATTAACATGGATCATGCTCCACACAATTATGTGGACCATAAATAAAAAGTACGTTTTTAATATACTAAAGATACATTATTTTATATACTATACGTGAGGTACATTTTTTGAATTAGTAATAGTAGCTATTTCGATAAGCATTTTTTAGTCATAAATTTTACTAATTAATAAGTCAAGTATATAACTGTAATTTGATAGTTTTTATCTATTTTATTTTATTGTATATTTGCGTCGAAGGAAAAAAGAATGAGTACATCTCTCAAATCTGGGACATGCTTAGTTAGGCAGCCAATGTTCCACAAGAGATTGAAGTCAATGAGAATTGACATATGGAAAACATTAGCCTACTTGAATACGAGATTCCGCCACATTCATACGTCAAACTTATAAAATTGATCCAAAGAGAATTGACTGAGGGCAAGAAATTGAAGCCAATTTCATCATCAATGGCGACCATAAAAACAATAACCCCACAATAAGATGTGAACATTAATTTTGGTTTACTTTTCATACAAGTCACATCTAAATTAAATGCATAAATTTTGGCATGTAGTGACCTCTCTCATATGGGAGGTCATGACGTTGTTGACTCTTTGTGTTTTAATGAACATATACTATAATGTAATAGAGTCAGTAACATTCAAAAAAAATGCGTACTTTTTTTTTAAAGGATCTAAATGCGTAATTTAATTTGTAATATTTAGATTATCTTAATTAAGTAAAATACAAATTATTGTGTGGATCATGGTCCACATAGTTGTGTGGACCATGAGTATCAGGTACATTTTTAATATATTGAAAGTACATTATTTTTGTGCTGGAAGTATAGCTAGATTTTTTATTTTTTACTTTAGAAAGCTATAGCTAGATATTTAGATGAGAGAATAATTTAAAGTTTATATTATATGAGTATGCATTTATCTCCGTTCCTAACTTCCTATTCTATAGATGTGTAATTAAGGATGTGTTTGGTTTACAGGTTTAGCTATTGGAAATGAGTATCATTAAGAATGTGTTTGGTTATTATTTGGTTGACATGTTTTTAGAACACTACTATGATTGTTGATTATCGCCTTAATTGAAAAACTCATCCGCTAATAAGATAAGAGTTTCATTCCATTATTTCTCATCAGCCTAATAATCATTCTCATTACACCATATTATCAAACATGCAAAATACTTTCACTAAGAGCATTTACATCAGAGGAGAAATTGAGGAGAATTCACTATTTTTTAGGCCAAAACGCCATGGTGGCAGAGACAGAACCAAGAGAAAGAAGGGGTGGGGAACATCTGCAAAGGTTGGGATATTACTCTGTCCAAAAAAAAGGAATTAATGATGGAAGAGAGAGAACCAATAGAGAAAATGAATTACTCTGACATGTTTATTTTTTATATTTTATATATATATATATATATATATATATATATATATATATATATATATATATATAAAATCAGTTTTGATTTTTTTTTCCTCCTCTCCCACATTATTCTTTTTCTTACCTTCTCCCCCTAATATCCCAACCGATAAAGATGCTCTAAAACTCATTACCATTACCAAGTATTTAATACTCATTTCGATTTCAATTCTCATGTGTGGATGAAACACATCCTAAATAGTTTAATTAGTAAGGTGGGATTATTATGTGTTCCCTACGGGAATGGGAAACGTTGGAAAGCTCAAAGACTCAAAGGTGGAATAGCTTATGCCAGCCTGGGGATCAGAATATGATGTTAAAGGATACACTTAACCGCCATATAATCCACCACAATTCCAAACTCCCCTCCCCCAATTTTCTAATCTACTCGAACCAAACATTATATAGGAATTAAAATATTTTTTTTAGAAAAATTGAATTATTATAATAAAAAACATCAAATTTCCCCAATATATATATAAAATTATATAGCTAACAAATTTAATATAACTGTAGCCAAACTTCAACTAACGTATTCTTCCCACGACCATATCAGACTAAGTCAGCCCGATCAGATCCATATGCTTGATGGGCAAGCCTCATGAATATAATGGGTCGTTAACCACTTATTCTATGTCAATCTGGTCATGAATCGGTTTGTGTAAGACTAAACTTGTCAATCTTGAAGTCTCTCGTAGTACACGTCTATCTATTTAGATAAATTCTTATCAATCAAGCTACGTAACACTAAACTACTCCTCAGATGAATTACCCAACTACATCATCCAAACAAAACACAAACACACACAAATTAAAAACCTCTTTTGAGGAAGAGATTCATTGTCACCAGAAAAAAAAAAAACAAAAAAAACAAAAAAAAAAAACAAAAAAACAAAAAAACAAAACAAAAAAGACATCATACATCTCATCTTGTAATTTTTTTTTTTCTGTTTTTGCTTACTAATTATTGTTGTGTGCTCCATTTCGTATAAATTGAGACTTGTAATATTTGACACATCTATACCTTACTAGGCCATCTCCGCATATTAACACATTTTTAGACCTTTCTTTAAATACGTACTAGTCGCTTTATAAATTCTTTATCCGGACAAACTTAATATACTAGTACCAAATTAAATAGAGCAATTAAAGTTATAAAAATAGACAACCCAATATGCTGTAATACGGTTGGGAGAGTTGCCCCAATAATTGAAATCTAGCTAATCAAAACTCAATTAGATTGATCACATTCTGCAAGGTGCATATATCAATGCAGTGCGCAAAATAAGGTACTGGTATAGCGCTCAAACTGAACCTTGGCAAATTGAGATAATAGAACAAGGGATCAAAATTCACTTTGAATGTTAATGATAATAAGTTTATAGGTATAATTTTGGTATAATTGTATAGTTGGTCAAATCGATTCTTATACAAGTAGAAAATAAAATAATGTGTGAGTTATCGGTTCAAATTGATTACATGTAAGATGGTCAATAGTACTAAAAGAAGTCGAAAGCATAATGATGTGACTTATTATATGTTTAAATTTAACTTAATTAATTGTCAGCATATTCAAAAATAGTCAACACGTAATTCATAATCAAGTGCGAACTAATCATTAGAAATTCATAACAATATTGAACAATAAAATTTATAATAAAATAATTGATCAAATAAAATATTTAAAAATATAATTACAAGTTGCATAAAATAAAAAATAAAAAAAAATTAATATTAACAATATATATATATATATATATATATATATATATATATATATATATATTATACTTGATATATTGCTAGGAATCGCACAAAGAATTATTATTCGCAATAACAATTTGAGACTGCATGCGGGCAACAACAATAATGCATGTGATACAGTTTGCAACCCCAAATTATTGTTGCGAACAGTAGTTTGCTATTCGTAGTACCCTGTTGTTATAAAAAAAAAAACTATATATTATGAATATAAACATAAAAAGAATATAAAACTAGATTTATAAAGTTTAAATAGGAAGAAAAATAGAGTTTAAATATAGAAAGAAAACATTCAAAGTTGTTAGAAATAAAATTTGAAATCTTGGGGTTGAGGGTTGGATTTCAACTATTAATATTTGAGACAGAAAAGTCTACAAAAGTCTTAAAATAAAAAAGTCTACAAAAGTTCATAACTTTTTGAATACTACATTGACTTTTAAAGACTCTTTAAAAATCTTGATTGACTACCGCCTAACTTTTAAAGACTCTCTAAAAGTTTGAATTGAATACCTCCAAACTTTTAAAATTCATAAAAGTCTTTAAAACTCTATGAAAGTCATGATTGAATACACCCCCTAAAATTCATCATTTTAAAAGTTTTTAAATATTTACGAAAATAATAATTGATCCCACTTTTTTCCATTTATGTGCGGTAAAATATTTTTATTTTGTCAATTGAAAATTTATGCCTACAAAAATGTCACTCTCAAAATCTGCGAAAGAAGTAAGGGGGCTTGTGTTTGATTTAAAACTAAAGTGTATAAATAAAATAACGGTAACAAGACAAATTGATTAAAATGTCAAAAATCAAAGTTAGTAATAAGATAAGAGAATATGAGATTATCTAAAAAATTGAAAAGTATCTCACATTTACTTTCAATAGCTAAAAACTTAATAGGAAGGTTATATGACATTCCCTAAAAAAAATTACCCTAAACCAAACTTTAGAATTTTATATTCCTAAATAAATATAACCCTAGTTATTTTATACACAGTGTAACCTAAACCAAATGTCCTCTAAGGGTCCGTTTGGAAAGCAGGAAAATGACTTCTGGAAAATGTTTTCTAGAAAATGAGTCATTTTCCGGAAAACATTTTCCTTTCCAGTGTTTGGTTGCATTCTGGAAAACTGTTTTTGTGTGTTTGGTTCATTTTCTGGAAAATGAGTAGAATTGTATAATTAAACATTTTAATTATTTTATTTAGAATATTACAACATGTATAATAATATAATTTAAAATATAATAAAAATAACTAATAATATATCAAAAATATTATGGTGGTGGTGGTGGTGGTGGTGCAGTAGTGGTGTTATTTGTTATATAATAATAATAATAATAATAATAATAATAATAATAATAATAATAATAATAATAATAATAATAATAATAATAATAATAACTGGTGGTGGTATGACGGTGGTAGCAGTGGTGGTGGTGGTGGTGGTGGTGGTGGTGGTGATGGTGTGGTGGCGGTGGTTGCGGTGGTATGGTGGTGGTGGTGGTGGCGGTGGTATGGTCGTGGTGGTGGCGGCGTCGGTGGTGTGGTGGTGGTGGCGGTGGTATGGTGGTGGTGGTGGTGGCGGCGGTGGTGGTATGGTCGTGGTGGTGGCGGCGGCGATGGTAGTGGTGGTGGTGTGGTGGCGGCGGCGGTGGTGTGATGGTGGTGGTGGTTGCGGTGGTTGCAGTGGTATGGT